TTTTTTTAATAGCTCTACTCAAAATTGGAATTAATAATTGATATAAAAAACATAATTTTCTTAATTACTTTTCCCCCGAACCTCTAGATTGCACGGATCAATGTGTACAAATTAAGTTGGATTATACGATCCACGTGGTGATCAAATATAATTTTGCCTTTTGGGCTGATTATTTTAACGTTGTAAGGCGGTCTAATATATGCATAATTACACGAAACTTATTTAGGAGTTGCCAAAATAGTCTCACGTTATTTTGTGATGCTGCAGTCTGAGGTTCGGAGGCGATTCGGAAGGTAGTTGCTGGCGGCTTTTGAATATCGCATTCCAGGCTCCTTTTCATCTTTCGCAGCAGAAGCTCTTGCCCTCAGGTTTGGACTCCGCTTTGCTTTTGATTTGGGGATTTCAATTCAATTTGTCAAGACGGATGATATAGCTATTATTTGTGGTCAGAATATTCGCCTCACGACTCGTTGCATCAAGTTTTTGTAGACATCCTGTCTCTTTTGTTAAAACTCAATTGTGGGTCTAGTAACTATATTGCTAGGAACCAGAATTTTGTTGCCCATATTTACCTAAACGGGCTTTGTCGTCGTCGACACCCTTCTTATGGAAGGATTGTCTCCCGTCGTTTTTATCTTCTATTTTCCGTAGGAACAATACTCTATGTTGAAGTTTGGTTTGTTGGTATTGGTGAAAAAAGAAGGTGGTAAATTATCCTTCATTATAAAATAAAATATTTTTAAATAAAATGAGAATTGGTTTAAAAAAAAATAAAAACACTTATAAAAGTAAGTAGTTTGTAAGTAATATTTTATATTTCAAAATTTTAATATTTATTATGTTTATCGTAAATATTTACCACATCAAAATTCATTTAAAAAATATTCTAAAAATTAAATCCTTTATCAAAATATAATTTGTGCTTAAGAGTCTTAATATTATTGTGTCTTTACCATAAAAAAATTACCACAGATGTTATAAGTATATACAAATTATTTTAATTTCTAATTAAAAATCAAGTATATTTTTAATAAAATAATAAAAATAAATATATTATATATTTTTATACCTCAAACATTTAGTGTTATTTATACATATATTATCTGTCATCATAAATATCTTTCACACAATATATATATATATATATATGATTTATTTGTACATAACAAATATTTAAAAATTACAAATTAAATTTAATCACAGAGTCGACCGGGTTGACCCACCGAGATCATTCGGGTCAGAATTGGGACAAGTGGGTTGATGACAGGTCAATTATTAACCAGCCTGATTATTCAAACCGGATTGGATTTCGGATCAACCC